TTTGATTCATGTGAATCTTTCACTTGGTACTATTTCTGGAGACCATGGTTGAATCTCCTCAAACCATTGCGCTAACCAATCTGCTGCTAATTCCACCAGGTCTCTTAGCTCATCCTTATCACCTCCTTCCAGTAGGACAAAGCTTCCCACCCATTGGCCAGACCTTGCATGTAAAATATCCTTCCATGTAAAATCTTTCTTGTAGTAATGGGACCACTTCAATTGAGTGAACAGTTCCAACCATGCAATCCTGGAGCCACTCTTCGTCTTCCTTCATGGTTTTTAGTTCCAGTCCTGCCTTGTTATTGCTTCTTTCCTTGGTCCTCCATGCTTGAAATTTATGCTGTCCGTCTGTTCTGATCATCTTGTGCTGTTTGTCTGTTTTGATCATCTGGCTTCTTCTTTTGTTTTCAACTGCAACTTCTTTTTCCTCTTTTCCATCTTTCACTACATCCACATAGCTTCTCTGTTGTTGGAGCTTCCCTCCTTTCCTCCTTTCTTCTATTGAAACCCTCTGGGTCTCATTGTATCTTGGTCTGTTCACCCTCAGTTTCATGCTTTCAATCACTATCCCATTTAACCTTCTTTCCAGCTCCCATTCATCTCTAACCTCCAGAAACCTTACAAAGCCGAACCTGCTCCCCTCCCTCCCTTTCCTCTATGGGCTATGAATGGCATAAACCCTCCCAAATTTGAGAAAAGTTCGCCACATATCCCCGTAGCTCCAATCATCGGGAAAGTTCGTGAAGAAAAAGGGTGTTGCTTGGTTGTAAACTCCCCTGTCATATCCCCATGGTTCCCTTCTTCCTTGCTCCTTCCGAGTTGTAAACTAATTCTCGTGACCGGAAAACCCTCTGCTTTGAATAGTCTGCCTTGCCCGTGCTCGCCTGTCATCCCATCATCTCTCTCTCTCTTTCTCTACCTCTCATCGTCTCTCCAGCTAGCTAGATATCTGCCGGGAGCATCAAGTAATTTGAATTTAAGAAAGTAAAACGATCATTTTACCATTTTTTAAGCAGACTGCTGACATCCCTGTTTTTTGTGTTACAGTGACCATAGAGGGACGCAGAACCAGCACAGACGAGCTAGTAGCTTATATGGAGAGTTGTTATTGCATTTAAGTGGTTACTTGATGAGCAAGAGCTGCCTCGCCATTTTTGGTTACTAAAGTATTTCCTTTTCCTTTTCGGTTTTTTCCTTTTTTTCCCCCAGTATGTTTGGACTTTCACATTTTTCCTGCTCTGTAAAAAAGAGTTGTTGTAATGTCAAAATCGCTTAGCTTGTTCCACTGTTTTATTTTCTATTAAATAACTTGGATCGTTGAGGAATGCACATTATGTTGAATTTATTATAAATATAAAGTTTTTTAAGAATTAAAATAATTATATTCACCATCAATAAAATCATATTAAAATTAGATTATACAATCTCCCGCTGGGCCATAACGTAATACGGATGCAGGAAAATCAAGGTTGAGGAATGCACACAGTGATGTGCTAGATAAAGAAGAGGTGGGCATAAAATTTAATTCAACTCAGAAATGGACACCCAAGCTCTTATAATTTTAGTGTTAATATCAAGTAGATAAATTTAATT